GCGCACCTCGCCGGGTGCTGTGGCACGCGGCCGGGCGTGCTCACGCGGTGAGGAGCTCAGAACGCACCACCGTTTGCCGAGTTATACGCCCCCGCGGGCCCTCGCCGGGCCCCGGGGCCATCCGAAGACGACGGGGGACGAGAAAGCAACCCTGGGAGAGGGTCGGGACTTCAAGGAGCCCCGTACACGTCGGTCGGAAGAAGTAGGTAGAAACATGAAGTAGGAAGGCGGATACAGTGGATTGGGTCCAGGCCCCCCCAGGGAAATAGCAAAACACATCAAAAGCGTGTCGATTCTTGAAGTAGGAAGGCGCTTGAAGTAGATTGGGATCTGAGACCCCCAAAATACCTACTGTCAACGACCGGCGTGTATGGAACAAAAGCAAGCATCGGATGCCTGGGCTGGGCCAGCATCAGACTCAGAATCGGATGCGAGGCTCTTGCCGTGCGCCACCCTGGCAACTGCTCTCCGAGCCAGGTTGCCGTGGTGGCCAGAAGCCTTCCAAGGGCCCCAGGCAAGAGACATCAAGGAAGCGTCCCTTCATTGGCCCCCCTCGCGGCGCCTCATCGTCGAAGGAGAGTTGGCGGTCGATTATCCTGCGGCGCGCGAGAGCGGGGCAGGTGGCGGTGGGATCCAGAAGCCCTCCCACCACCCCCGCCCATCCAGCCCACGCTGCAGTAGATTCGTGCGTCGAGAAACCTGGCTGGAAGAAAATCAGGTTCGGCCGATCTTGAACGTCGCTGGGAACCTCAGCGCCTTCAAGGGGTGCCCAAAGCCGTCGGGGAACGAGAGTAGAGGAGAAGAAAACGGGGACCATGACCAAGACTGGCCATTCCTCGCCATTCCTCCAAGATGACCAAGACTATCCTCGCGATTCGGCGACGGCCAACATGGATCATGACCAAGATCGACGTCGATAAGATCCCGCGACATCTTTAGAGGAACAAAGAACTACACAAACGTAAACTGTCAGAACTCCCCGCGGATTTCTTGGATCCGCGCTGGACCCTGCTCCATGGGTCGCGGAGCGCGCCACGGGCGGCGCCGGAAGCGCCGCCAGGGGGGCCCCAGCGCCGATCCAAGAAATCCGCACGGAGCTGCTGAGGTTGCTTGTTATGCGGTCTGTTCTTCTTTGAATGCTGGTCACGGGCAGCGTGCTTGTTCCCCTCGAGAGCGGTACTTGGTGTGCTCACCGTACCCCTCCCAGATCTGCAGCCGCGCTGGAGGCTGGACGCTCGAGAAGCGCTGGGCGCTACTTCAGGGGTCGCGCGACGAACGGGGGGGCGCCGAAAGGGTCACCTTTCGTGCGCCTGTTTTGGGCCCCACTGGGGCCCCCCTCGGGGCCCCGAAGGTGCACGAGAGGCACACCGTTCTCCTCCTCCTCCTCCTCCTCCTCCTCCGCCCTCGCGCAGCGGCCGGCCCGGAGGCAAGGGCAGGCGAGCCTGCGCGACCGACGCGCCAAGGCCGGGGGAGCCCAGTGTGGCCAGGGGGGATGACCGTGGGGGGTTCTAAGTGGATAAGGGGGGTTACAAGTGGATGCCAAGGTGGGCTAAATCTGGCCCAACCTAAGCCATAAGTGGGTTACAAGTGCCCTAAGTAGCTTAGGAGGGGTCGATAACTCGGCGAAGTGGGCGGAGCCCACCCAGCCCAGATCGTTAACTCCCCTAAGCTACTTAGGGCACTTGTAACCCACCTATAAGCCAGGTTGGGCCAGGTATAATCCACCTTGGCATCCACTTAGAACCCCCCACGGTCATCCCAGAGGGGGCGGGCAATATACGTGTATATGTATATATATATATATATATATATATATATATATATCCATAGCCAGGGCGTCTTGGACTCTCGTGCAAGGGGCGCCGCAAGGCCGAGGGCGCACTGGATGTGGAAAAAAGTTCGAGCCTCCAGTAGGGGGGGCCCGATTTTCTAGCCACAATCCACTGCTCCTCGGCGTGCGGTGGAGGGGAGCCCGAAGCCCCAAGCGGCAGTGGAGATGGACACGAGTTGTGCCCGCAAGGGAGGGCCGGGAGGGCCGGGCGGCCGAGCCTCCGCTTCGGGAAGCTCTCTCGTGCGAAAAGCAAAGCGACAGGGGGGGGGGGGGGGGTGCGGGTGGGGGGAGTGGGGGGAGTTGGGGTGTGGGGTTGGAGTGGGGGGTGGTGGAGGTCGGGGAGCTATGTGTGCGGGGGCAGGTGAGGCTTGACCCATGAGCCCACGTTCGAGAAGCACCCTGCTGCCTCCAGGCGTCGTGCCCTCCTCCTCCTCCATCCTCCCTCCCTCCCTCCTCCTCCTCCTCCCTCCCCTCTCCCTCCCTCCTCCCTCGCCTCCCCCCCCCCCCCCCCCCCCTCCCCCCCCCCCCCCCCCCCCCCACCTCCCCCCCCCCTCCCCTCCTTCCCCCCCCTCCCTCCATCCCCTCCCTCCATCCCTCCGTCCTGCCTCCTCCTCCTCTCCTCCCCCTACTCCTCCTCCTCCTCCTCCCTCCGTCCTCCTCCTCCTCCTCCTCCCCCTACCCCCCTCCCCCTCCTCATCCCTTCCCTCCCTCCTCTCCTCCTCTCCTCCTCTCATCCTCCTCCTCCTCCCCTCCCCTCCGCCTCCTCCTCATCCTCCTCCTCCTTCCCCTCCTCCTCCCCCTCCTCCTCCTGCTCCTCCCTGGGCCTCGGTGGTCCTGCGGCGGGGAGCGCGACGCTCCCGCACAGAGAAGATCGGTGCACGTCCTGGGGTCTCTCGGGGGTCGGGCTCCTCGTGGCAGGCTTCTCGTGGCCGAGGTCGTCCTCCTCCCCCCCTCCCTCCTCCTCCCCAGCCTCCTCCTCCTCCTCCTCCTCCTCCTCCTCCCCCTCCTCCTCCTCCTCCTCCTCCTCCTTCTCCTCCTCCCCCACTGTGTGGGGGAGGCTGGACCTCGGCGGCTTCTGGGATGCCTCGGGGGACGCTGGAACCGTCGGGGACGAGAACGCAGTCGAGGCTGCGGGAACGGAGGCCCGGGTCTCTCCGGGCCTCTGGCGCCATGGTGCAGCAGCATCCAGAGCCACCGTGGGGCCCCTCCTCGTCCCCATCCTCCCTCTCTGGGTCCCATCGAGTCGAGGGATCGCATCGGTAATCGAGGCACGTCGAATCGGCAGCAACTGGCAAACAGCAGGAAGAAATGTCTGGCATTCTGGTCATAGCTCGGATCTCCGGCAGCCGTTCGGGACGACCCGAGCACCCCCGAAAGGCCCTCGGCCAGGCACAGCTGGAGGGAAGTATCCTGAGTCTGACAGATACGCTCAGCATCCCCAGGTTCACAAGACAAGTGCAGATACATACTCGAACTTAACCTCTGCGTGCTTATATGCCCTTTCGGCTACATGTGCACATTCGTATACACGGTCCTAGATATACGAGCGTGTGCACGCGCATGCATCCACGTACACGTCCGAATGACTTCGGGAACCCACGACCCAGGGGATCCGACGCTGCGCCAAAAGATGCAACATGTGCAGGCAACACGCGACCAGAACCCCGGCCCCCATATTCCTGCGCCATGCTTCAAGCCGGGCCGCCCTCTGATGCCCCCGGGGCCCGAAACCAGGCGACAGCGCCCGGCGCGAAGAAATTGCGACGCCAAGATCTCAGGGTCTGGGAACCGACGGAGACGCCCAGAAAGAGGGGGGGGGACCCTCGACCTCCACCGTCCGCACCCTCCGCGCGGCAGGTGCTGCCGCGGCGCGGTCGCGGCAGCCACCGAGGCCGCCGCTGCGGCCTCGGAGGCGGCACTCGCCGGGCAGAAGGTTCGGAAGGTTGAGGGCCGGGGGACCAGATGGATGAGGCAGCGGCCTCTGGATTCTGGCGTGTCTGGACACATGCAGCGCGGGACAGATAAAACTTAGGAGAGGAGGAGGAGGAGGAGGAGGCGGAGGAGGAGGAGGAGGAGGAGGAGGAGGAGGAGGAGGAGAGGAGGAGGAGGAGAGGTGGAGGAGGAGGAGGAGGAGGATGAGGAGGGGGAGGAGGAGGAGGAGGAGGAGGAGGAGGAGGAGGAGAAGGAGGAGGAGCAGGAGCAGGAGGAGGAGGAGGAAAAAGAGGAGGAGCAGGAGGAGCAGGAGGACCAGTGTAAACCCAAGACTCATCAACAATATTGCGATAACATCTCCCTCTATGAGAATTCATTTCACTTAGGGAAGTGCCCCGATTGAAGACAACCATCCTGAAATTCAACAAAACACCTTCCCTGGGACTTCAATCGCACAAATGAATCTAACCGTTCTGCCCTGAGAATCCGACATCGTGACAAAACACAAGTTCTAGGACGTTGCCCGTGAGAATCCTTCAAGGTGCTGTAATATTTCAAACGACTGGGCGCGGCGCTAAAGCGAGAGCCACACTTTGAAAAGGAACCGCCCTCCTGTCGTGAAGCTCTTGCACATTTGTCAAACGAATAAGCGCGGCGGCAAGGCGAGAGCCTCACTCCGAAATCGCACCACCCTCTATCTGTGAAGCCATTGCAACATGTGCAAAGGAATGTGCGCGGCGCTTGAACGAGAACCATCTGCTGGAAACGGCCCGCCCTAGACCCGTTGAACTCTTGCAGCCTCTTAAGACAACGGTGCGCGGCGCTAAGCGAGAACGACCTTTTGCAAGCGGTCCGCCCTCCATCCGCGAAGCTCTTGCATATTCCCAGCGTAAGGGTCATACCTGGTGAGGAAGTCTCGGGCGAACCACCCGCCCCGCCCTACCGACTCGCCCCGGGGTGCGACAGGGAGGAGTCATTTATGAGGAAAGGGGATGGATGGGAGCAGGAGCAGGAGGACGAGGAGGAGGAGGAGGAGGAGAAGGAGGAGCAGGAGGAGGAGGAGGAGCAGCAGGAGGAGGAGGAGGAGGAGGAGCAGGAGGAGGAAAAGCAGGAGCAGGAGCAGGAGGAGGAGGAGGAGGAGGAGGAGGAGGAGGAGGGCGCAGCCACTCTTCACACGGTCTGCGGGCCGCCCGCGCGGCGGCCAGCCTCCGCCCGCGCGCGCCGCAGCCGCGCACACCGCGCGGCCTCCGCGCGCGGCGGCGGCCCGGCCGCCGCCGCGCGCAGCAGCTCCAGGGCCTCCGCGCCGAGGCCCGCGGCCAGCAGCCGGCCCGCGCCCGAGGCGCCCGCGGCCGCCGCCAGGGCGGGCTCCCGGGCGCCGCAGGGCCCGCGGTGGCCCTTGGCGTCGCCCGGCTCGGCGCGCAGGGGGCCGCCTGGGGGAGGGGGGCGCTTCGGCGGCGGCGGCGAGGCGGACGACGGGGGAGCGAGGACGACGGCGGGCCGCAGCCGCAACAGGACGACGACGACGACAGGGAGAAAGAGGACGATAAAGGAAAGAACGAAGAGGGAGGACTATGACGACGAGGACGACGACGACGACGGCGGCGGCGAGAACGAGGACGAGGACGGCGGTGAGGAGGAGATACGACACGCACGCCGCGTGCCTGCGGCCCCAAACTGTCTCATGTCTTCCCGAGTGCTCAGCTCACCGAAGAATTAGAGGAAACATGCGCAACACTCGCCAGAATAGTTCCCGAGGCCAGTGGGTGGCAACTGGATCGGTGTAGGAGGACGAGAGGGGGACAGGAGGACGACGACGAGCAGGAGGAGAAGGAGGACGACGACGACGAGGGAGAGGAGGATGAGAAGAAGGACGACGAGGAGAGGCTAGGACGAATAGGACGACGACGAGGACGATGACGATGACGAGAAAAGGACGACGAAGGAGGACGACGACTCCGGGGAGGTCTTCGCACGAGCGACTGCTCGATTAGGAGGCTACAAAGACTCATTGGCCCAGGCCCGGCATCATTCTGGGATTCAGCGCAATTCACTGGACGGATTGGGCAAGTTTTTTCTACCACGGATATGCCAGCGCCGACTCTGAATTCAACCTCCCAAGGATGCGCCTTGATGCTGGGGCGGGGGGGTCGCCCCGCCGCGCCAAGGTAGTCACTCCTCCCAGGTATACATGCTCGCGTCGCGAACGAAATCGCGACGGGAGGAGTTCGGCAGTGTTCGGCCTCTTGGGCCGCTCGCCGCTATTTTTTCTCGGTGCTCCGTTTATTACTCCCGTCCCCCATCCCATGGAAAGCATCGATGAACGACCCCCACCGCACGGACCGCATTTCTCCCAAAGCATGGGACACAGAAACACATACTACAGCAACGTGTTTCTGCTGGAGGCGCCCGTCCCGTTTGCACCGAACATGCAGTACAAACGTCTTGCAGCACACCGTCTCCCGAGCGGCATGGCCAGAAGGCGCCCACCACGGAGCTTGTGCTACAAGATGTCTCGGCGCGCACGTCGACCCTGGGGTGGGGGCGACGCACACAGGTATTACACAAGATGTCTCGGACGCTAAACCCTGCATGTTCAATACATGATCCGCACGCGGAGCATGTCTTTATTAAAAAACGGCACTGCAGGGTGCCGCCCAGGAGCAGGGCGGGCCGCCTCCGGGGCGGGCCCGCCGCGCCCCGCCGGCCCCCGGCCTCCCTCCTCCCCCGCCCCCCCCTCCCCTGCGGGGGGCGTCGGGCTGTCCACCCTGGGGCCATTCTGGCAATTCCCAGTGGAGGCCTGGACATTGGCACCAGCACCAGCCCAGGGGGGGTGCCTCCACAGGGGGCAGATGATCCCAGATTTCGGTGCTGGCGGCAATATATATATATATATGATCCAGGGTCGAGAGCCCACGGGCCCCCCCCCCCAGATGGTATGGTCCCAGAGACGACGACGACGACGACGACGACGACGACGACGACGACGACGACGACGACGACGACGACGACGACGACGACGACGACGACGACGACGGCGACGACGGCTGCGACGACGGCGACGACGGCGACGACGGCGACGACGACGACGACGACCACGACGACGACAACGACGGCTGCGGCGGCGACGACGCCGGCGGCGGCGACGACGACGATGACGACGATGACGACGGCGGCGACGACGATGACGACGACGATGACGACGACGACGATGACGACGACGACGAGGACGACGAGGACGACGAGGACGACGAGGACGACGAGGACGACGAGGACGACGAGGACGAGGACGACGACGACGACGACAACGACGACGACGACCTCTGAACCACCACAGCACCACACCACATCCACATGGGGGGGGAGGGGTGCACCGCAGTGCAACACCACGCCGCGCCCACCTCTGAACCACCACATCACCACACCACATCCACAGGGGGGGGGGAACCGCAGCGCAGCACCACGCCACGCCCACAGGGGGGGGCGGGGGGGACCATCGCGCGGGGGTGTGGGGGGGGCCCAATGGCATCAGCATTGGGGGGGGGGCCCAAGCCCTGGACCATATATATTATATATATATATATATATATATATTTATATATTATATATTATATATTCCTCTTCCTATATTTTTACAAGCCCGGGCGGCCGCAAAACCCCGCCCCCCCCCCCCCCCAAACCGGACTCCTGGGATCCTGGGACTTTGGGACCCTCCGGACGCCCATTGAAGCGGTCCCGAGTGCCTCAAGAGCGCTCCAAGACAGGCACAAAGCGCTCCAAGACGCCAAAGATAGCCCCAAGACAGCCTCAGGAGCCCCCAAGACGCCCCAAGCGGCCCCAAAGAAGCCCCCCAAGACGGCCCCGGGAGGCCGAAATGGTCAATTTTCCAATGTGTTTTTCGATGTTTTCTGCTTTCTCGCCATTTTAGCTTTCCGACGCTCCAAGACAGAACTAGAGGCCCTCAAGAGCGCCCCAAGATGGCCCGGGGGGCCCCAAAACGGCCCCAACACGGCCCCAAGACGGCTCTGGAGCGCCCCGAAACAGCCCAAGAGGCGCCCAAGAAGGCCCAAGAGGGCCCCGAGAAAGCTTCAAACGAGCCCCCACAGGGCGTTCAAAAGTACAAACATCTAACTTTCCGCCCCAAGTGGGCCCCAGGAGGCCCCAGGAGGGCCCCAAGAGGCCCCAAGAGGCTTCCTAAGGCCCCGAGGACTCCCAAAAAGAACCCACGAGGCCCCAAAATGGCTCTCCAGCAGCCAAAACGGCCCCCCAAGAGGCTTCAAAACTGCTGAATCGCCCCACTTGACCGCCACCTCCGGAACGGCTTCGCTGCGCTGCTCCGTTGTTTGCCAGACAGTGCCTCTGGCCCCCCGCTCTCGGCTTTCGGGCAGAGGCCGCCCGCGGGGTTGGGCGGTTTCTGGAGCGGCGCCTCTCGGTGCGACGCTGACAAATTGCTTTGCCGCTCCCCGACGGCACCTTCATTATCCCTCTCCCTCCTCCTCTTCCTCCTCATGATCTGGCAGTCCTTGGAGCCGCAGCCCCCTGGTCTGTTTCCATATGTGATCGCAGGGCATCTCCGTTTGTCTCACCCCCATGCGCAAGTCGAGACAGCACGCCGCCCCAATGCGTGCCTTACCTTACCTTACCTCATGATATTCCTCCCTTCGCCGCGCCTCCCTAAATCGTCCTCCACTTCTTTCCCGCCCCTTCTGTCCGACGTTTTGTCTTTCCGGAGCCTCCACGGCCGCTCTCATCGCCGCTGATCGGTCCACTGGGACATTCTCATGGAGTCCCAGTGGCGCGCGGACCAGCAGAGCGAGGGCGCGAGCAAGTAAGGTGCAGGTCCGGGAACTGGGCGCGAACCGGCCGCGGTTCAAAGACCGTGGAGGGCCGCGCTAGACGCCAACGCGCGCAAGGGTTGAAGGACCAAGGTGCATGGCGCGAAGCGCCAATGCAGTCTTGTATATATATATATATATTTATATATAATTTATATATATATATATATATATATATATATCGGCCACCTTGGAAGCCAGAATATGGCCACCATCACCGAGATCGGGATCGTCTTCCCTCAGTGGAGGCACACCGCCGATCTTGGTGTTGGTGTCAACCTCTGGGCCTGCGATCCCATGCTTTTCGTTTTGAAAGCGCCCAAGACGAGAATACTGTCTCCCAAGATCGCGTCACCAGAGCGCCCAGGAGGCCCCCGGGAGGGCCCCAGGGCGGCCCAAGGCGGTCCCAGGACGGCTCTTGAGGCGCCCATGACGGTCCTGGCGACGCTCCCGGCTTGCCCAGAGGGTAAGGTTGCTCCCATCGTACTGGTGGACCAAATCCCAGGAAGGAGTTCCGGCCCAGAAAGGTCTCGAAACGGTGCCGAACGAGCATCGCCGCCCAGGGCCCGGCACGTGAAGACACTCAAGGTTCGGTACTTGCTTGGTGCTAAATTGTTTTTTTTCTGGTGATCAAGGCTAAGGTAGGTTGGGACATCGTAACCACAGAGGGGTCAAGCTGAAAGGGAGTGGTGCAATAGATTTGAGGCAAGCGTATTGCACGTGAACTGCGCCAGAGAACTGCGCTGCCTTGTATTGCAACTGGTGCGTGGCACGCAATTCATTCCAGCAAGACAGCTGCGCCCCGCGGAATGCACCGCACGCCCCAAGCCGACTGCCACCTCACGAATCCCACGCACCAGATCTACTGCACCACCCCCTTGCAGCTGGACCCCGATTTGCGTCAAGGCGTGGGAGATACCTCATGGACGGCCGCACCGCAGGAGCTGCATGGCTGCAACGATGGATCTCCTCCAGGCTGCCCCATGGCGGAGGAGGAGGAGGAGGAGGAGGAGGAGGAGGAATAGAAGGAGGAGGAGGAGGAGGAGGAGCCTCAGGAGAGCAACGGGCGTGCGGACAGCTCCCCACGCCGGGTCGCTCCACGAGGGCCCCACGTGCCCAGAGCGGGCCCCGACGGCCACAGCTCCGACAGCAAGCCTGAGGACACTGAGCCCACCCACCCGCTGCCCCGGGGGCCACTCCTGGGTGACACGCTGGCGCGCGCCCCGTGGGCTCCTGGCGAGGCGCGGCTGCTGCTGGGAGAGCCCCCTGGTGCTCCGACGCCGTCCAGGGAAGACCTCCTCGACGACGCTCCTGCCCCTCGGAGGCGCTGAGCGGCCACCCGACGTGGCTCTCCTCCACGGAGCTCGGCGTCGGGGGCACCCAGGGAGGAGGAGGAGGAGGAGGAGGAGGAGGAGGAGGAGGAGGAGGGGGAGGAGGAGGGGGGAGGCAGAAACGGAGGAGGAGGAAACGGAGGATGAGGAGGAGGGTGCCAAGGACAGCGCGCAGGTGCCCTCGCGAGGGGCGAGCGCGGCGAGCGAGTCCCCTCGTGGCGGGCCGCGCTGGCCTCTGGCCAGGGATGGGCCCCAGGGCAGGCCGCCTGCGCAGTGCCCAAGGGAACGCCCTCGCTCGGGTGAGCGGGCCTCTGGAGGAGGGGACCTCGCGGCACGCTCTGCCCCCCCCCCCCCCACTCGCGGGGGGGGGGGGACGGCCGCGGAGCAGTGCCGATGGACATCGCATCGAGGATCAAAGAACAGGATGACTGTAGCTGTCGGAGGCCCGCGCGGATCTCTCGCACGTCGGCGCCGGAGGCCTGTCGCGGCGCCGACCTGGCGGGCTCCGCGCGCCAGCAAGGGGGGGGCCCAGCGCGGATCCGAGGAATCGGCGCGGAGACCTTCGAGAGCTCATGCTCGTGGCATGTGCCGCTCCTCGAGGGCAGAGACGGGCCCTGGTCCCTGCAGGGCCTTCCTCGGCACCGGTCTTCCCTCCCGAGCCAGCCTCTTGTCAGGCCCTGAGGCCCGGGGCAGGGGTTCCTCCTCGTCCTCCTCCTCCTCCTCCTCCTCCTCCTCCTCCTCCTCCTCCTCCTCCTCCTCCTCCCTCCCTCCTCCCTCCCTCCCTCCCTCCCTCCCTCCCTCCCCTCCCTCCCTCCCTCCCTCCTCTCGCACCCCTCCTCAGGGCTTTTGTGAGGACCTGACCAGGAGAGCCCCTGGACCAGGGAAAGCCTCCAGGACCGCTTCCTCCAACAGGACCTCCTTGGTCGTGGCGGCCAGCCCCTGCCCTCTCCAGAATCGGCCCCCCTGACCTCCGAGGGGGGCGTTCTGCACAGAAGTTCGCGAGGCATTCCAACCGCGGCGACGAGGAGCCTCCAGGATACCCCAAAGAGGGCGAAACCATATGATTGACACACACACACACACACACACGCGCGCACACACACACACACGCGCGCGCACACACACGCGCGCACACACACGCGCACACACACACACACACGCACGCACGCACGCACGCACGCACGCACGCACACACATACACATACACACACATACACACATACACACACATACACAAACACACACACACACACACACACGCACGCACGCACGCACGCACGCACGCACGCACGCACGCACGCACGCACACACACACACACACATACACATACACACACATACACACACATACACAAACACACACACACACGCGCGCGCGCGCAACGAGGAGAACCAACAAGCGCACAGCTCCATCCTAGAACCTCGAGCCTCGTCGTCTTCATGCTTAGGACAGCCGCGAGGAGTGAAGTGCAACGGGGTCAAGAGGCAACGTTAGGGGAGGGCCAGCACGGGGGGGCGGGGGCGGGGGGGGGGAGATCGAGCTTGACTCGGCGGTACATCGCCGCTAGATCGGCGGCAGGCCCCCGATTGTGAATCTGGCGGTGAAAGGGCGATTGGGGGTCGATGCACCCCCCCCCCCAAGCCTACCCTCCCACGACGTTGCCTTCTGGCTTCGGGTCATAACTCGGCTCCCAGCTAGGCGGCCGTTCGGGGCGATCTGGGCACTCCCAGAACGCCCTCGGCGAGGCGCAGCCGCTGGAGAGCAACCCGACGCTGGGAAGCAGAAACCCGACGAACACAACCGAAAATCTCGAACCTCGAACCCGAAAACCTCGAACCTCAAACCTCGAGTCCGCCCCGGGCCTCGACCCCGTCTCAGGAGGTAGCATTGCGCCCCGGATCCTTCTTTGCTGGCTTGGAGCCTGGCAGTGGGCCCAGGAGGCCGAAATCTAAATCATTCGCCCGAATCAAACAAATCATATCGTCGGAGATCTGCTGGGATGACCGCGAGGGGGTGCTATGGGGCTAGGGGTTGATAAGCAGATGCCAAAGTGGTGATACCTGGCCCAACCTGGTGATACATGGCCCAACATGGCTTATTAAGTGGCTCATGGGGGTAGACTCCTTGAAGCGGGCAGAGACCACGTAGCCCAGCTCGCTACCCCCCTAAGCCTCGTGGGGCAGTGTACCCATCTATAAGCCTAGTTGGGCAAGGCATCTCCACCATGGTCTCCGCTTTTAATGCCCCTTATCCCCTCAGCATCCCACACGGTCGCCCCAGCGGGTCCACCCTAACGCGTTGCCCCTGGATCTGGACGCCCGAAATGGGCCGCGGAAAACATGGGCACAATGCCCAACAACAACCGTTGCCCCAAACCGACAGCGGCCGCTGTTGGGCAGACGGTTCCTTGGCTCAAACATGGAACACGTCCGCGGCGACCCCGACGGCGAGTCCTGCTCAGAATGGACAGGCTGTCGGCCTTCGTACCCAGTCTTGCCACACGTACCCATCCCGATCGTACTAATCAACTGCGGGAGCCATGCCGCCCACCAAAAGCACCGAGCAGGCGCAGCTCCGAGGCTAGCGCGGGGCCGCGCTCGCAGGCCGCCGCCAGCAGACGGCAGGTCTGCAGGTCGGCCCGCACGCCCTCGCAGGAACAGGGAGAAACGACACCACCGCCACCAGGGACCACGAGCGGGACGAGACGGTGGGGGGGAGAGGGGGACGGAGAGGAATAAGTAGGTCGGACAGGTCCAGACGTGTGTCGGGGCCTCCAATCGTGTGATGCAGCATGTCGGGATGGCAGGGCGTGGCGGGTAAATGGCGTCGTTTGGCTGGGAATCAGGACCAGGGGGGGATTGAGGCTTGGTGTGGGAGGAGGCGGGTCCCGAAAGACGCGGGTCCTGGGGACCAGTTCCCCCCCCTTGGTGTGGCCCCGCCCTCTGGCTCGAGACATCCCCTGTCCCCAGCTCGGTCTCGAGGCATCGTGGACCTCCTCCCTGGAGGTGTCCCCCCCTGGTGGTGGTGTCGCTTCTGCTTCCCCCGACCTCGCCGGCCATCTCGTCGAAGAGCGCGTCGAGCACGCCGAGGCCGTGGCACGCCTCGGCCGCAGGGCAAAGTCGAGGCCCAGGCTTCGGGAGGATGGGCGTTTTCAATGCTGGCGTGTTCCCTCGATTTCTCACCACTGGGGTGAGAATGGAGCCCTGGCGAAAAAACACCCTCAGGGAAAGGGTCGAGACCTCCGAGGCCCTGGCACGCCTCCAGAGAAGCAACCGGAAACTGCACAAGCGTAAACACGGCACGCCTCGGTCGGGGGACGTCAACGGACCACCTCACCGATCCTAGCTGGGACGGTCCTGGACCCAAGGTCTGGAGGGAAACGAAACGAGGACCATGACCAAGGCTGAACGCGCTCAAGTCGGTGCTAGTCTTGGTCACCGTCCGTCCATCTTGGTCACCGTCGACTCGTGGACCATCCTCGCCGGCCATCTTGTCGAAGATCGCGTCGAGCACTCCGACGCTGGGGCACGCCTCTAGATAGGAGGGCCAGATGCGACCCCCCCACGATTTCTGAGGGGGAGGGTGGGGTTCACTTCGTTCGGGAGGACTCCCGAGCGAAGTGAACCCCACCCTCCCCCTCAGAAATCGTGGGGGGCAGGGGTAGGGTTCGCAGGTGGCCTCCCATCTAGAGGAACGACCACATGCAAACTCTAGGAGCCCCAGGCGGATGTCTCGGATCGGCGCTGGCCCCCAAACGGGCGCCTCTGGCGCCGCCGAGTCCGCGCGGAGCTCCGAGAGTTCGTGTTTGTGCTGCGGGCCGTGAGCTCAGGAGGAAGAGGTACCCATCGGCCGCCCAGGGGAGAAGGAGCAAGAGGAGCAGGAGGAGGAGGAGGAGGAGGAGGAGGAGGGATAGGGCGAGGAGCAAGAGGAGGAGGAGGAGGAGGAGGAGGAGGTTTTCCCACGCGCACAACGCCGGGAACAACTGCACTGAGCCTGGACAAATGCAAGCTCCTCGTACCGTGATAACGCGACCACCTCTCCAGGCAACCGCGTGCTCTTATAAGGGTGCTTGCCATCCGATAAGATGTTCCGTCTGGTCCTGGCATTGTGATCCCGGGGGTCCTTGGGACACGCCGTGAGGAGACCACATGCACGAGCGCACAAAAAGGAGCCACATGCCTGGCAGAACGTGCAGTGGGCGATTCTAGACAACGTATGCCGACGGGGCTCCTCCAAGGGTGCCTGCTCGACGCGATAAGGCTCCTTCCAGCGCCCGTGGGAAGAAAATCCACCATGGCAAAACTTAAGCGAGAGCACGGCCTTGGCCTTGTGGCTCTGCGCTCGCTTGGCACACTTGAGGCACCGCCAATACCCCTGGGCCCACTCCAAAACATGCCGCCTCTCCAACGGGGGGGTGCGGGGCACGCCGAGGACGAGGGCCAGGGGACAGGGCGGCATTCTTGGAGCGGCCCGTGGTGTCGTCGAAAGTACCTATGGCAGCGGTCTCTGGGCCTACCAGCCCGAGCATAGCAGAGACCTCAGAGGACCTCGTAGCCCAGGTGTGCGTGAGATGCTGCGGAACTGGGCACAAGCGCACAAGCGGGCTCCCTCTTTCGCCTGGAGGTCAGCCGCCTGGTTGCCCAAGTAATCGCACAGCTCGAGTCCCTCGAGCAGCTTAGCATCGGACTTTTTGGAGTAGGGATCTTCGATCGCATTCCAAATCATTGTGCCTTAGGTCGGCGTGGGCCCGGCGTGCCTGGCGGCACTGGGCGGCGCCGCGGCGATGCCCGCGGACCACCGTGGCATTGCCAATGCCCGTTCTCAGTGGGGCCGAGCCGTGGCACAGGACCTGCGGGAAGCCCGTGAGCTCCGCTCGCGAGACGCTCTGCGCCTGTCTGGCCCCAGGAGCCGTGCCGTGCATGGCCTCGCGACACACTGCCATGCTCGTGCAGGAAGCAGAGCCCCCAAGCGAACGCCCTGAGCCCAAGGGCCCCAAGCCCTGAACCGTGCGAGTACGCAAACCCAGACTGGAGGGGGTCCTCCCCGAACTCGGGATCGAGGGCTTCTGCCGCGGGCATGGCGTCCTGAAACGGGTCGCCCGACGGGTGCTCCGTGAGGGCCCGGGAGAAGAGGAGGGAGGTAGGAGGGGACGTGTCAGCGCGATGGACGATGTCTGGGAACTCATCGCCGGCAGCCTTGCGCAGCTCGCTGAACGCAGGGCACTTGCAAAATCTGTGGTGCTGATTTCCTACCTCGTGCCCGCAACGCTGGCAAGTGCGGTCATCGGAGTGCCCCGCTCGCCAAACCTTGTCCTGGGTCCAAAAACCTCCTCCCAAGAAAGACATCATGACCGCCTGCCGCTGACCTCGCCCATTTTTCTCGGATCGAAGTGCGACTTGGCAGGGCTCGAGAAATGGCTTGCGAAACGGCATACCACGCTGGGAAGCCCAATGCGTGAGCTCCTGATCCTCCAGGCGGAGGTGTATAACATTCGTAAGGTGCTGGGTGTGGCTCGTCTCATCTCAACATGCTCCCCGGTGTGCAGGGATATGGTATGCCAGCTGGGCCACGACCACCCCAGCCGCTCAAGGGTTAAATCGCAGGCTGAGGCTGGCCCCCGCACCTGGGTCCATGGACGATCACGAGCCCTGCTTCGCATAGCGACAAATCGGCCCATGGCCCATCGCCACGCACGGGGCATGTCTTCATCATGGCTGCATTGCCAGAAGTGCGAGGCCCACATTGTTGTAGGCTTCTGCGAGGTCTCGACTGCTGGATCCGACTGGTGGGTCCAGAGACGCAGCACACGGTCCCTACCAATTGACTTGCCGCAGAAACTGCCCGAGATCATGACCCGCATGCGTTCTAGGGAAACCGGAGAGACACCTAAACAGCTAGACCCGTAGGTCACGGACGGGATCAATGGAGGAGGAGGAGGAGGAGGAGGAGGAGGAGGAGGAGGAGGATCGGGTCGGGCGAAAGGGGGGGATAGCAAAGGGGGGGTTTGAGAATCAGCTCACGTAGCTGATTTTCCCGGCGCCTCCCGGCGCCGGAGGCGGCTATGTATCGAGGAATGGGCCCTCGGTGAGGCCGAAAGCAGCTGCATGCAGCAAAATTGGTACCCGCCCCCTTCCAATCCCCCCTTCGCCCGACCCGAGAGGAGGAGGAGGAGGAGGAGAGGGAGGAGGAGGAGAGGAGGAGGAGGAGGAGGAGGAGGAGGAGGAGGAGGAGGAGGAGGAGGATGGAGGAGGAGGAGGAGGAGGAGGAGGAGGAGGAGGAGGAGGAGGATGGAGGAGGAGGAGGAGGCTCTCTGCTCCTCGCAGTCCCGAGGCCGTGGCACGCCTCGGCCGCCAGGCAGAGCCACGGAGGGCCACCACGCCTCGAGGCCACGCCACTCCACGGGGCCCCCCAGAACGGCCGGCCTCGCCAGATTGCAAAAAAAACCCTCGAAGGATTGCAAACAAAAAACCCTTTGAACCGAAGGGTTGCAAAAAAAACCCTCGAAGGGTTTTTGTTGCAATCGAAGGGTTTTTGTTCGCAATCCTTCGAAGGGTTTTTTTGCAATCCTTTGCAATCCTTCCACCTAGAGGGGACGGCCTTTCCACGATGCTCTCACAACGGGCGTGTTCGCCCGGCTTCGGGCGCTGGGACCATCCCCAATCGATCCGGCTCGAAGCAGGCCGCAGGAGGCTGGGGCCCAGGGCCCCCGTCAGGATTTTTGTTACGACATGCTGCCAGGGGGGGGACAGGAGAGAGGGGGGGGGGAAAAGGAGAGAGGGGGTGGCGGGAGAGGGGGGGGGCGACAGGAGAGAGGAGGGGGGGGGGGAGGGGGGACAGGAGAGAGGGGGCGGCGGGAGGGGGAAAGGAGAGGGGGGGGGAGGAGGGGGGGGGACAGGAGAGAAGGGGGGAGGGGGGGGGGAAGGAGAGGGGGGGAGACAGGAGAAAGAGAGGGGGGGGGAGGGGGAAAGGAGAGGGGGGGGGCAGGAGAGGGGGGAGGGGGGACAGGCAAGCTAGATGCGCTCGCGTCATATCTGACATCCTACCCCTCCCTCCCATCCCTTACCATGGCGCAGATCCCCTCTCTACTCGCACAGTCGGATGTCGAGCAGGGCAATGATCCCGAAAGGGTACGCGATGCATTGTAGAGCACGGCATGGCGGCATGGCGTAGAAGAGCACCGCAAAGCGTAGTATCAACCTAGCATTGCATTGCATGCCGTGGCATGGCACAGGGAAATGACGCCAGCGCTGCAGCGGGAGCACGAGTCGAAACGAGCGGAAGCGCGGAAATGAGGCCAGCGCTGCAGCGGGAGCACGATTCGGAACGAGCGGAAGCACGGAAATGAGGCCAGCGCTGCAGCGGGAGCACGATTCGGAACGAGCGGGGCCCGAAAATGAGGCCGGCGCCTCAGCGAGAGCAGCATAAAAAAAATTCTCCCGCTCGCGCGCAAGCGAGCTGTCTCCGTGCGGGGCCGCGGCGCCGCGCGCGCGGAACGGCCCAAAATGGGCAGGCCCGCCCCGCGCGCCCGAGCCGGGGCGCCGCCTCAGGCGGTGGAGTCCGCCTGGTCGCCGTAAACGGCGATGCAGCGCCACATCAGCCAAGATGAGGGAGAGGAGGGAGGGGGGCTGAGAAGCTGCAGAGACAGCAAGAGCGCGGGTCGCAAGGAGAATAGAGAGGAGCATTCTCCCGCTCGCGCGCAAGCGAGCTGTCTCCGTGCGGGGCCGCGGCGCCGCGCGCGCGGAACGGCCCAAAATGGGCAGGCCCGCCCCGCGCGCCCGAGCCGGGGCGCCGCCTCAGGCGGTGGAGTCCGCCTGGTCGCCGTAAACGGCGATGCAGCCATACCCATGCTCAAAGCCCTTGCGCAGTGACAAGGTTTCGGCGGGCGGCCGATAGACGGGTGGTCCATACAGCAGGGCCGACCCCTAGAAGGGAAGCGACAAGGACGTCGCGGGCGGGCAGCGACAGAGGTCGCAACTGACAGTACGACAGGCGACCTGAGCACAAAGGGGGCTCAGGGAGAGCGGACAGCTCGTAGGGGGGCGAGAAGGCCGTTTAGACGATCAGCACGCCAATAGCCGAAAGCAAATAGTTTCACCGAGTA